TCTCCCTTGGTAAATAAAATCATCATTTAGAAACTGCATTTTCTATTTCCTTGGGTTGTCTCTGTGTCATACTAAAATTGGTTTGATGATCTGAAACCTTTGTGTGTGATAAATATGCAAAAAACACAGAAATCAGGAAGGGGGCAAATACTTTTTCATGGCACTGTATGTTGCTCAAGCTGGTGTTATCCTACAGAAATCCAAAAACTATGGGTGGATCTCACCAGTCACACACAATGATCAAAGATGTGATGACCATGTTTTTACTCCAAACCTAAGGTCCTGTTTTCACCACAGAAACAAGGATCAAGAGCTTGAGGGCCGTAACTAGAATTGTGTACTTTGGAAAAATAACTTCATCAATGGAGTAGAACCATTTTCTAGCATCTAATTCAGCTATTCCAAAAGGGTTTTTTTTCTGCTCTAACTGCCTTTTGATAATTTGTATGTTGTCCATCCAGTTAGTATGCAATACAACAATAATTTGCATAACATTACCATGAATTTGTCTAAAGACAGACAGGAGTCAGCATGTGAGGATGGGGAAGCACACCTCTGACTCCCGGACCATCAGCGTACAGCTGAGTCAGCGTACAGATGAGAGATTGACTGCCTGGTGACCTGGTGTAGACTCAACAACTTAGAGCTAAATACCCTAAAAACAGTAGAGATGACAGTGGACTTCAGGATGAGCTCACACCCATCCGTGCCCATCACCCTGGGTGATTCTCCTGTGGATACTGTGGAACACTTCTGCTTCCTGGGAACCATCATCACCCAGGACCTTAAATGGGAGCTAAACATCAGCTCACTTATCAAAAGAGCCCAACAAGGGATGTACTTCCTGAGGCAGTTGAAACAGTTCAATCTACCAAAGTCAATGAAGGTGAACTTCTACACCTTCATCATCGAGTCTATCCTCACCTCCTCCATCTCCATCTGGTACGCTGCTGCCACTGCAAAAGATCTGAGCAGACTGCAGCGTATCATCCGCTCTGCTGAGAATGTAATTGGCTGCAACCTACCTTCGCTACAGGACCTGTACACCTCCAGAACCCTAAAGCAAGCAAAAAAGATTGCAACTGACCCCTCTCACCCCAGTCACAAACTCTTTGAGGCGCTCCCCTCTGGCAGGAGGTTGCGGTCCTCCCGGACCAAAACCTCTC